ATTATGTAATTAACCCCTATAAATGATAGGAGTATTTATGCGGATATCATGTGGATTATTTCTGGATATCCTTAAAAGCATAAACTTTGCATCATGACTGAGAGATAGGGTATGCGATGTGATCCAATGACCACAGAAAAGCAATGGTAGACACATTGCATCAAAGTGCCTGTTAATGGCCAACTATATGAGGAGAGGGCCCATGCTTTGTTATAAGCATGTCCATACATGTATTACAATGCCAGGCTTTCAATTTGTTATCACAAAGCAAAATGCAGTTGTGGATATAAACTCACGATGTATCATAAGAAAAACAGTTTGAACACCAGACTGAGACTCGAGATCAGTGAACAGTGAACCAAAATAGATAAATGAAATCCTATCAATTAATATACTTTCAATATACTTTCTTTAAATTATTTTATCCTCTGTATTAACTGTGAAATATTAAAGTTAAAACAATAACATTTAAAAGCCAAATTTTAGTGTGCATAGGAATTACAAGGCGGTTCATAATGTGAGATTGTTATGGACAGATGAATTAAAATAAAATGGCTATTTACTAATGTCTATTTATTCTGTGTTCACTATGTTAAAACTGGCTGCTAGAGTAAATATTCCCTTCCCCCCCTACAATGTGTTCAGTTGCTGTTTCCTATGTAAATTCTTCATCCTGCTAACATCCCCCTTCCCATCAAGCAAACCTCATGTAATTCCAAAATTCCTGTGTTAACAGCTTCCTTTACTAACTCCTCCCCCACTTCCTTTGTGCCAGTTAACAGCTATATGCCACGTGTAACAAAATGGAGAATCACTGTTAAAGTAACTGAAAGAAACTACTCACTCCCCCTCCCACCGTGTATCCAGAAGTCTGTAATGATGACACTACATCCTGTAGGGGGGGTTTAGACAAGACCCCCTTAGACTGTTAACCAATTATTGAATGTATACTGTATGTTTAAACTGTGACGTATTTTTGCTTTAAGAAGGAGCCCCCACTCCGGGGAATAAAGCATTCCTTGGTTTTTCACTGATCAGAAACTTTGTCTCCGGTGTGAATTACTTCTAGGGAAAGAGTGCACGCATTAATTAATCAATTTGGAAGGAGTAGATAGACAAATAATCAAAGTTTTCTTTGATCCAAAACAATTTGGGGGCTCGTCCGGGATGTGAGGGTTACGTTAATAAGGAAGCCGTAAAATCCCAGGACCGGAGAGGAGACCCCCAGAGATTGAAAAAAGAAAAAAAAAAAGAGCCTGATCACCTCTGCATATGGTAAATGAGTTACTTACCCTATATTTTCCTTTCTTTGGACTTTGTTTACTCTCCGTTCCTTCATTCTGCTTCCTGTTAACGTCTTCGACAGGTATATAGTATGCCCACATGTCCCCTTTATTTGAATAGAACCTGTCAATTTGTCTATCTACGTCCTGTGTGTGAGTTTTATGTGTGAAAGTGTCTGCTTGAGAATCTGTTTTACTACTTGCTTAATACTGTTATATAATGCTGCCAAGTGTGGTTAAGCGCTTGCAGATTTAGCCAAGTTCGGATTTGGTGGAAAAACCCTGGCTGTTTCTTTGTTTTAGTTAGACTCGGTGAATAGTTTAAAAGTTTATTTTATTTGTTTTAGCTAAGCTTTGGTAAAGAAGCTAGTGAGAGACTCGGTGAAGAGTTTAAAAGTTTATTTTATTTGTTTTAGCTAAGCTTCGGTAAAGAAGCTAGTGAGAGACTCGGTGAAGAGTTTAAAAGTTTATTTTATTTGTTTTAGCTAAGCTTCGGTAAAGAAGCTAGTGAGAGACTCGGTGAAGAGTTTAAAAGTTTATTTTATTTGTTTTAGCTAGGTTTTGGTAAAGAAGCTAGTGAGTGACTTGGTGTAGAGTTACAAAGAAAAGAAAAGGAAAAGTTAATGTTTATGTGCTTGAGTGTTTCTGTGTGTGTGATTTGAGTTATTATAAGCCGGCATTTTTTTAAAGAACTTTGTGATTTAATTACATCTGTATTTTGTGCTTTTGTCTGTGTATGTCTTGTTGGGTACCATATATGTTAATTGTAATCTATACAATCTGTATCGTCACTCTCCTATTCTATCTTTTGTCCTAAGGAGAGCTGTGCTTAGGCAATCACATGGTTAAAAAACTTTGTGCTTGCAAGTCTTCTCCCCCCCCCCTCCTTCTTGGTTGCTTTCTCTTGCTCTGACTGCTATGAGTATTGGCTACAGGGGGGGATGAGGAATGTAAGGGAAATCTTCCAGCTGCTGGCCATTAACTGGCCATTAGCTGTTGAAAAAAAAAAAAACAAAGATCAGAAATGTTATGAAACTAGTCTGTACTTACAATGCATTGATTTGTAAACGAGATGCAGGTCAAGAAAATTTAGAATCAGCAGATAAAGAAATAAATTTGAATATGTTAACAGAAGACAAATCAGATTTAAATGACCAGTGTAACAAAGTAACAGAGCTGTAAAACTTAATTTGAAAATCCGTTAACAATTAATGAAAATTGTGAAATGTATTCCAGTTTATGACATGTCAGTGGATGCATTTACTAATGCTGAAATATTTGAGTCAAATTTGGACAAATATAGCCTAAATGACGAACAAAGGAATAGACTATTTAAAACATGGCTGCCGACTCAAATGCATATAGACTTATTGGTAATTTTCCTGAGGATCAATTAATTAATTTGTGAAAAAATGTCAAGATCTAGATTCAACTGCAATTGTAATTGCTAGAGAAAAAAGTACTTTGAAGGAAGTTGCTTTATTCTTAGATAAAGTAAAGAGGTATCCAGGCATGAAGGGGTTAAAATGACTTGTGGAATTAGGCAAAGAAAGAAGTGCAGATTTTACAGCCCTCGTCCCCCTCCTCCTCCTTCTTCTAGAACTCAGTGTGAAAGAGCAATACAGATGCCTGAGCCACTCCCAATTGCCTCAACGGCAGAATATAACTAAAGTTATTTGTGTTTGGTGCACATTATTTAAGATCTTGCAGATATTTGATTCTAGAGTTAAAACCAGCACAAGAATAGAGATATGTGTTTGTTTGTTTACTAACTTGTTAGTCTGTACTGTTTTTTTATTGTTTTTGTTTGTTTTTTCATTGTTTTTATGTATGTTATATTGGTTGTATGCTATTATACAGTAACTCCAATCATTTTACAGAAGGAAAAAACAATAGATTTATTATTTGTTGCTTCTGAGGTTGATTTAAAATCTTTGATTTAATTCATGAGAATGAGATTTTAATATCATGACTGATAATGGATTACTGTATATTGCAACGCCTGGACATACACATGTTTTGGATATACTGAAGACAAAAGGAATAATATATGGGAATGGATAAGGCTGATTTCCCCCTATCCACAGCCACGCCTACTCCTAAAGTAACATCGCGTCCATCCTTACTATGCCCTTTTACTGTAGAATTGCCCGAATCCTAATGACCCATTTCACTATATGGTGTGACTTGTTTAAGCCTAAGATAAATTGGCTGATCAGGCTACCTGTATTAACAATGTCATCAACGATGAGTTAGCATCTGTGGAGAAGTATCACTTCAGGTTGTCCCAAATTTTCTTTTAACTTAAGTTTTAGTACATAGTAAGGCCCATGCCCAACAACTATATGCAGCCTTGTATAGCAGGCCACATGACATCTATTTGTACCAAGCAAGGCCTGCCTGACTCCTCATTCCTGTCTAAAATTGTTGTCTCCTGCACAAGTGTAGATGGCTCTCCTTGGAGTAGCCTGTTAACTAAGCCTTGCTTTGTGGTTACCTTCACCTGTCCTGTTAATCTGCTAGGTGCAGATGTCCTTCCCCCCCACTTGCAGGCCCCTATCACCTTATTATTTCTTTTGTTCCACACAGTGAAACCTGACCAAGAGGCAAGGGTCCTAGCTAGTTCCCCCCACACCTTTACCTGAATTATACAGGCCCCAAAGCCTGTCCAAGCTCTTACTATTCCCTAACAGGTTAAGGCTCTGGTGTCGAATGGTGCCCTGGTTCCCTGAGACTTTCCATGCAATATCCCACCTCTCCTTGTGATGGACGAATTCTGTGCAGGATAGAGTATCATCCCTGCAGGGTGACACTATTTACCTGGCCACTCTTCTGCCACTTCCCAGGGGGGGAAATGATAAGACACTGACTATTATTTTTTTTTAAGCCTTTTTCTTATGATCTGTTCTGGATTTGCTGTCACTACAGTGGACCAAGTATCTCACCTCAACAATGTCTGCACAAGAAGCTGAGCTTTAGGCTCCCATCACAGCATGCAAGATCTCTGAAGGAAGACTGAACTCAGAGGAAGCATGTGGCAACTCTCTGGCTTACTAAGTTGTTAAGGGAGAGTTCAGCCAAGGAAGGGCTCTTTTGTCCATTTTTTAGATCCACGTATGTGGCCTCAGTATTAGAGATTTTGCCTTTATTCCTCTACCTGCATTGAATCTATCTCTCTGGTCTCCCTAATTTTTTCAGACCTTTCTTTTCTTTTAATTATGTGTATGTTTTTTATAATTACTATTAAAAGTTACGTTTTATACACATGTAACTCTATTTAGGGGCTTTCTCACTTTTGACCCAGAGGGTCTCTCTTTTCTGTCTTACTAAGTTGTTCAAGAAGTTGTAAGTGCACTAAGGGAAGTGGACAGAAAAGTGTCTGCTGAAGAAACTCCCATATTCACCATGTAAGATCCTACCCACAGACATCAAGCTCCCGAAGGAATAACAAGCAAGCTACTGACCCTGGAAAGAAAGAAAAAACAAACAAACCACAAGCTGGAAACAGAAAGGGTGCTACGGAGCATCTGTCCAGAACCCTCATGAACTCTTTTGATCAAAAAACACTCTGAAGTACCAGGAATTGCCTCTCTGACCAACAGTTACTGTAAATCTTGTGCCATTTGTGCCAAGGGCAACTCAGGAAGAATGGAGGAAAGCCCCAAGCATCTAGCCAAACCTCATTATCTCTTCCAGAGGAGTCAAGTCGACTACATCCAGAATGCCAAAGAATTGTTGATTCAAATATGCACTAATTATAGCAGACATGTTTTCAGGATGGCCAGAGGCCTATCCAGCCACCAAAGTGATAACCAAGACCACATGCTGAGTAGTGCACTGTGAAAGTTACAGCGATCACCCCGTGGATTCATCATTCCAGAATCAAGCCTGCCTCTGCATCATGTGAAGTAACATTGATCTTGACAACCCTTTTTGAAACTCCATTCTTAGAGAACAAAGATACTTGTTGAAAATAAATAAATAAATATCAACAAGTGGGTGTTTTGATGGCCATAATAATGCCTGACCACCTGCCATCGATGGAAAGCCGAATACCCCAAAAGGGGACCTCGTGAAACTAAAGAGAAACAAACATACTCTTTACCCTGCAGCCCTCACGTCTGAGGTGCCATACCCACAGTCAAAGCTTCTTCAGGATCATCTGCTTATCTTGAGTTTGTGGTGATATTAATATTGAATGTTTAAATGATCTGAATCTGCCAGTATTAGGGTAGCATGAGACAAGATTTCTAAGAATAAGTAAATGTGCGCTAGCCTAGGTTATTACGTCCATACACATAACACATGACAATCCCCAAGGTACTCTTGACACACCTCATTCATGCTTCAGGACAAAAAGGAGTACCCCTATAAAGGGTGGTTTTACCCACACATATATATATATATATATATATACATATATATATATATATATATATATTAATGCCATAGGGGTGTCAAGGGGGGTACCAAATGATTTTAAGGTAAGAAACTAAGTTCGAATCTATTTTCCCAATCATCACGGCCAATAAAAATTTAAATTGGATCAATTACATCTATTATAACCAACAACGTTTTGTAAATTATACAAGAGATGCCCTCCAAGGTTTGGCGGAACAATTACAAGCTACTTCCCAGATGACCTTCCAGAATAGAATGGCCTTAGACATGATCCTGGCGGAGAAAGGGGGAGTATGTAAAATACTCCCAGACACCATGACATGCTGTACCTATATTCCAGATAATACAGGCCCTAATGGTAAGGTAACGTTGGCAATAGAAAAGTTAAAGAGTTTGTCCAATGAACTGAAACAAAATTCTGGGGCCACAGATCCATGGGAAAGATGGTTTGGATGGATGACTGGATGGCAAGGTGCTCTGGCCCAAATAGGTGTTGCCATTTTAATAACGATAATCATCCTCGCTCTTCTTATTTGTTGTGTGTTACCCTGTCTTAAGAAATGCCTACAAAAGACAGTTGATCAGACAATCGACCAGACCACCCCGACCTTCCTTCACCAAGAGATTGACGACATCGACCGTGATACACCACATACACCCTTACAGTCCCACCGCACTAAATCAACAGCTACTTCCTCTTAAGGACATTCAGGGATAGCGTCTGTCTCTACGGGCAGAAGTCTGTCGCGGGAAGAAGTAGTGGACAAGCTGCTACGGGTTACCCGCGCAGTGAAGTGTTCGAGGCCTGTTCAGACAGATGTGCAAGATAGCCTTTTGTTATATTTCTATAGGGACAGTATTAGAATGAGAGAGAGTAGTATTTAGTAAAAATTGCCATTTTAAGGGGGGACTGTTATGGACAGATGAATTAAAATAAAATGGCTATTTACTAATGTCTATTTATTCTGTGTTCACTATGTTAAAACTGGCTGCTAGAGTCAATATTCCCTTACCCCCCTACAATGTGTTCAGTTGCTGTTTCCTATGTAAATTCTTCATCCTGCTAACATCCCCCTTCCCATCAAGCAAACCTCATGTAACCAAAATTCCTGTGTTAACAGCTTCCTTTACTAACTCCTCACCCACTTCCTTTGTGCCAGTTAACAGCTATATGCCACGTGTAACAAAATGGAGAATCACTGTTAAAGTAACTGAAAGAAACTACTCACTCCCCCTCCCATCGTGTATCCAGAAGTCTGTAATGATGACACTACATCCTGTAGTGGGGGTTTAGACAAGACCCCCTTAGACGGTTAACCAATTATTGAATGTATACTGTATGTTTAAACTGTGACGTATTTTTGCTTTAAGAAGGAGCCCCCACTCCGGGGAATAAAGCATTCCTTGGTTTTTCACTGATCAGAAACTTTGTCTCCGGTGTGAATTACTTCTAGGGAAAGAGTGCACGCATTAATTAATCAATTTGGAAGGAGTAGATAGACAAATAATCAAAATTTTCTTTGATCCAAAACAAGATAAAGAACAGCTTTTTTAAAAAACCGAATAGTCTGTGAACACAAAATGACCTTGCACTGAAAATTCACTTGCAGGGAAAAAAAACAAATAAAACCTTCTTTTCTTCAGTAAATTATTAATTAATTAAACGTAGTTAGAACCTCCATTAAAGTCCTGATTACTTTGCAAGAAACATGTCGTCCTGAAATACTGGGTAAGTCTATTAAACAGTGAAATAGCTGTTGTCACAGCTATAATGTACAGTATAACAAACTATTTTATAAGTATTGTGCAAACTTTTCATTAAAAGCCAGTGATCTAGTGAGCTATAGAACATTTATTTATTTATTCTTTAAAGCTCTGACATCAATCGGCAAAGCAATATTGTAATGGTGTCCATTGCAATCTGCTATCTATACTTGCTGCTCTCAAAAATTCTGAATATATTCAGAGATTTCTTGGACAATAATAAATCCCCAAAAACAGCAACTTTGCGTTTATGCTAAACCTGCCTGGTATAAACGGATTCTGTATATTTCTTGTCATAAGTACTTGTGCTTAAATCTGTTTAACAAAGCTGTCTATATTGTGGCTGTTTATATTGTGGTAATATATATATATATATATATATATATATATATATATATATATATATATATATATAATTTATTTATTTATTTTTCTGCATATTTAATTAAATATCCTTTATATGTCTTTAAGGCATAAAATATCTGCAAATTAAGATTATATACAAAAATGCATGTTCTGGGTGTTCCCGTGATTCCTTTTCTATCATTTATTTTTCTTTAAGTCTGGAATCAGATTACTTTTGGGATGAGCACCCCTCTGAGCCCCCCAGTTTCAGAGGCTTCTTTGGAGGTGACCACTGAAAAGTATAGATTCTATAAAATAGATGTGAGGGGGCTTTGGACAGTAAAGTTACCTTAATTATACTTTTCATATAGCAGATATGTGATATGCAATGTGATTTAATATATCAGAGTATTATCACTTTAATTGACACTGCATTTTTTATGCATTATTCTTTATGCATTATTATTTTTCTTTTTTTCTTAAATTTTAATGTCTGTTTAGAATATTGCAGGCTTTGCAATATCACATTAATTTTGCAGTATATATATTCACAATGCTCTTACAACTTATTATTAAAATTAGCCTCTTTCAGAATTGTAGAATATGTGGTGGAACTGAATCCCTATATATGAGATTTAAAACTGTATTTTTATTTCTACTCTGTACTCTAATCAGTATTTATATACATAATTGCGGCAGCATATAGCTTTTAAAGAAGCAATTATTTCACACTTCATGTGTGGTTGACTGTGGACTTTTTAAAACCTACTTTTTATTTTTTTATTTTTTTAAATCTGTTTCTGGCTCTGAGAGAGCAGGCTGCTGAATGCATGTAAATGCTCTTATTGCCTAGTCTATATACTTTTATTTATAAACAACATTGATATACTTATATATAAACAACTTTGAAATTTTATTTCATTTTATATTTTATGAAAACCTAGTTTATGAAATTCACTGAGATTACATGTGTCTGATCTGATTACAGTCAGTAGTACAATATCATTGTTCTAATTTCCTTACTGCTAGCACTACAGGTACAGTGGGATAGTACAACTGATTTAAGTAAGCTTTCTCTTTTAACATTGGTGGACTTTACTGCCATTGCAATAGACTAAAGACTGTACCTCAGTAAGCAAAGTCATTATGTGCAGGAATTGTGCACTTTAAATAGTAGAATACTTATGCAATTTTAGTGAATTGGGCTGGCTGCTTAAAGTGGCACTGTCATGCCGAATCCTGTTTTTTTTTTTTTTTTTAACCCCCCTCTGGCCTCCACTACATCTAACTAACACCCTAGTCACCCCCAAATGCCCCTAAGCCACCCACATTACCTATTTTGTAATCCTTATTTTCTGCCCCGATCTATATTCAGGGCGCAGCCATCTTTGTGTGGGTAGATGAAGTCCCTATGGGACACTGTGAGATTCCCGCACATGCCCAGTGAAACACCTGGACAAGCGAACGGGAATTTCATCTATCCATTCATTCATCAGACAGCCGAATGAATGAATAGAAATATCAGCCGAACAAACTAACACTATGTATCAGTGTTCATTGTTGGTGCAGTTTATTACAAGGAGGGAGCTACCGGCACTCAGCTCCCTCCTTGTAATATGTAAAGATAGAAGTGGCAGGGAGCAGTGCTCCCCACCAATTCATAAGCCCCCCAAACCCCCCCCCCCTCACTCTATGGGGGGCAATTAGGCTAAGAACACTCTGATTGGTGGGTTTAAGCCAATCAGAGTGCTCTTTGTCATTTTACACAGCGTGGGAAAATTCAAAATAATTTTCCCACTGTGTAAAATGACACAGAGCACTGTGATTGGATGGATTTCAAGCCATCCAATCACGGTGCTCTGTGTCATTTTACACAGCGTGGGAAAGTTCAAAAGAACTTTTCCACGCTGTGTAAAATGACACAGAGCACTGTGATTGGATGGATTTCAAGCCATCCAATCACAGTGCTCTGTGTCATTTTACACAGCGTGGGAAAGTTCAATTTTCCCACTGTGTAAAATGACACAGACCACTGTGATTGGATGGATTTCAAGCCATCCAATCACAGTGCTCTGTGTCATTTTACACAGCGTGGGAAAGTTCTTTGAATTTTCCCACGCTGTGTAAATGACAAAGAGCACGTATTGTGTTGATTCATTCATTATAGTAGTTTGTAAAACATGCACACAGCGCAGAAAGTTTTTGAATTTTCTTCCCGCTGTGTAAAATGACACAGACCACTGTGATTGGATGGCTTGAAATCCATCCAATCACAGTGCTCTGTGTCATTTTACACAGCGTGGGAAAGTTCTTTTGAATTTTCCCACGCTGTGTAAAATGACAAAGAGCACTCTGATTGGCTTAAACCCACCAATCAGAATGTTCTTAGCCTAATTGCAGGGCGGGGCAAGGCTTTATAAGCCTTCCCTCGCCCTGCGGAGCTCAGTCTGCGCGGAGCCCTCCATGGATGATGATGGGCCGGGGGGGGAGGACAGTAGGCCCCCCTCATTATCTTTATGGCCCCCACCCGCCGCCCAGGGGTGGGGGCAGGGGGGGGAGGACAGTAGGTCCCCCCCCCTCATTATCTTTATGGCCCCCACCCGCCGCCCAGGGGTGGGGGCCAGGGGGGGAGGACAGTAGGTCCCCCCCCTCATTATCTTTATGGCCCCCACCCGCCGCCCAGGGGTGGGGGCTGGGGGGGGGGAGGACAGT